CACCGCTCCGTCCTCGCCTTCTGCGGACGTGGAATCCCGAAATCCCGCACCCTGAAACCCGCGGGGTCCGGGTGTCAGAGGTGTCAGACGGACCCTCGAGGCCCCCTGGCAGAGGGGGGTCCCCATTCTGGGTGAGCCCCCGAATCCTGGTGGGTCAGCCCAGGCACTGGGGGCGGGAGCTCGTCCCTGTGTCCCACCGGGAGCGTGGGGATCCGGCCGTTAACCGGATCCTGTTGCTCATTAATGAGGAACCAGCCGGATTCTCCCCGGGGAGCGTCCCCTGGCACAAAGTGCCCCCTCTGCTCTGACCCTCGGCCCTGTGCCCTGTCTGCCAACGTACAACTGGCCCGTCCACGTGCTCTGCGTTGGGGTTTCGTATCAAACCTCCCAGGAGGGACTCGGGGTTTCCCGATTTCCCATGTCCCTCCTGGCGCTCCCTCTGCCTTTGGCCTCCAGGTGTGATTCCCTGGCCCTTCACCTGCTGCAGGGCTGGTTTTTCCGCTCCGAGGGGGAAAACTGTCCATGAACAGGCACGTGCTGCCAGGAGCAGGTTGTGTTTGGATGCAGTGCCAGTCAGGTGTCTTCCAAGCAAAACAATCCCGGGGATTTGGTCAGGCTCAGATATTGAGGGACTTTTGGGGCAGGACAAGAGTGGAAGCACCAAAAAGTGATGGTTCTGTGCTCTGGATCTCTGTTCTGAAAAGGAGAAGCTGCTGCTAAACTAAAAACTTCTGATTTCTCTCTCCTCTGGCTCTGGAGCAATCCCTAATTTGTGTTTGAACCCAGCAAGGTCAGTTCTGCATCTCTGGAGCCCGCAGTGACCCACGGGCTGGGGTTTGGAGCCCATCTCCGTGGCCTCTGGGCAGCGGCTGCCCCCTCAGCGAAGCCTTTCCCTTGGTTTTTGCTGTTACATAAATTTCTCTGGGGGTTAAAATCCCGTGAAATCCCTTCTAAGGCTCTTGGGGAATGAAACCCAGCACTGCCTGGACCTGCCTGTTCTCCTTGAAGGGAGGTTTGGGATTGCTCCAAAGCCATGCTGCTCCTGCCCGTCTCCTGGGAAAGACCCGGAGCCGCGGCAGCCCCGGATCGGGGCCAGAGCTGAGCCCAGGAATGCTGCAGTGAGCAGAGCCGGGATAATCCGCCCTCCAAGCCCCAGCAAGGACTTTCCTCTAATTCACCGGCACAGACAGGTTAATTCCCAGCTTTCCTCCTGCTGATGGAGGAGCTTTTTCCAGGGCAGGGGAGAGGCTGCCGGGCTGGGACAAAGTGCCCTTGGCTGCGCTCCGTGTGCCCCTGAGG